TATTTTAGATTTTTAATGTATAAGAATTTGTTTATGAAAATCATAAAATTTGATCTGTCAAAACACAATAATACAATCATCAAGAAACAGGAAAAATAACAGCTAACTCTCCAAGTGCCATACAAACGTTGAAAAGCACGAAACCAATGATTAAAAAATCAAGAGTGAGTGCAGCAGGACCTCCAGACGCAAGAGCAGAGCCCGAACCGACAAAGAGACCAGTACCAATTGTTCCACCTATAGCAATCATTTGCAAGTGTCGATTACTTAATTTTCGATGCAAGCCATTTCCTTCTTTTTCCACATCATCATTTTGATCGTCTCCTTGTGTTGATCCATTCATTTCGATCGAGATATTTTCAGAAGGATGTACACGTTTAAACAAATCGGTTATTCGATGCAATAAACTCGGTCTTTGTTTCATAACCTCGGTATTATTGATTTCATATTGACTGACATTTGCTGAGATGTTGCAGTAATTGTAAGGCGGTGTTTCGGATGGTGTAGTTGTCATTCTTGCCCACTATCAATCCTGTTAACACATAATAATAGTAATAAATATACAGATGTTTGGAAAAAGCTTGCACAACTTCTTTTACAGATATTATTTTCTATATAAGCGCTCTTCGACTCTTTTTTTATAGTATGGCAAGTAACCCACAATGAATACTACACGACAGTATAATTTCATACTTGGATCCATCCTCTTGTAGAAGCAAAATAAGACAAACATCAATTTTTCTCAGGTGCAAGAAAATAAATTATAATCGAAATTTCAACATTTTTAATCATTTGAAATTTCAATTATAATGATTTTTCTTGCATCCGAGAAAAATTGATGTTTGTCGTATTTTACTTTTACAAGTGGATGCATCCAAATATGAAATCATACTGTCGTGTAGCATTTGTCGTGGGCTACTCGCCACACTACAAAAAAAACTTGAAAAGTACTAATGTAGAAAATAATATCTGTAAAAGAAGTTGTGAAAATTTTTTTGCAAACACGTGTATATGAGAACATTTTATGAGATTAATGTGAACAAAAATGGATCGATTTCATGATCAATAGTGCACTTATAAACATAGAAAAATGTTCTCTGTATCGATTGTATCGTACATCGAAGAGATAGATATAAGTTTAAAATATTTTTATTTTTGATATAATTCAGTCGTATTTATAACTAGAGATCTGATTATTTCAATATTAGAAAGACTGTTTTAATGAATATGTAACCTGAAAAAGTCTCCAAAATCAGATGTATTTTGGACGATTTATGACAAAAAGAATTTTGTCTTAGTGATTTTGTTTACATAAGAAGAAACATACATCA